TTGTCACTTGTATTTTATTGAAAGAGAGAGGATTTGACCACAACATTATCACATATATTGTTTCTGGCGGTCGCTTCCAGATTTCCGATTCTCTCGTCGGTTTTCAAAAGTTTGTTTGGTCAGACTTTCCATAATAAAACAATCCTTGAAGCTAGACTTTGAAATATGGCTTTGCGAGAGAAAATAATATAATTTAAATATTTAACTATATTAACCAAAACAATGCATGGAAAGGAAATGACAATGCGTCTAATAACCTTTGAAATATAGATTTAAGACGAATTTGTATTTACATTTTGTAAATTCAATAACACGTACCATGCTGATCAAGAAGTCGATTTAAAACCTCGCACGCACAGGTGTAAAGGTATACATAAAAAAATCCAACCAATAAGCGTGATATTATAATGCTTCTATTGCATGGAATCCCATAAAATTTCGTCTTTTTAAGCTTCTAAGCTATGTATGAAAGCACTGTCATAGCTAGTGACACCTAAACTGGCACTTGGCCTAGCGCGGGCAGTGTAGGCGGGAGGAGGGTGGAGGTAGGGAAAAGACCGGACTGCAAACATTTCCGCTGCCTCACGGGGTTGACTCCCCTTGCATTGTACTTGAGCACCTTCATATGGGTCGGGAGGACAGTTGATGCAACCCAAGATGCATGGAGTAAAAGATGCATGCAAACTGTTCACAATTCATGTTAGTTCAAAATCATAAAAATCATTATTTAGTAGACAAATATATTTGTGTCATAACGGGAAATACCTCCTCCAAACCAGCTTAAATCGTGTCTGAAAAAGTAATGTTTGTGCATGTATCTAGCGGCGAGGCAGCCGCGGCCGGGACTGCAGTGACGTCATCGCGCGCAGTCCGCTCTGTCTGGCCCACCTCTTTTACTCCATGCATCTTGGATGCAACCCGCATGGCGGGACATCATGTTTTTGAAATAGGTACTAGTAGCGATAGGCCAAGTGCCAGCTTAGATGTCACGAGCTATAATAGCTTACCTCAACAAAACTCAGAGTGACAAAGTCTCTGATGAGATTTTGGTATTTATTGAAGTCAGGGTTTCCAATATAACATGTCAACAAGAATTTGCTTCCGCTTCCCCGGGTAGTAGTTAATATTTATACAAAGTTTTACTAAAATTAATACATGGAGCTATGTTAATAACGTACACTAATGTATTGATGTTTATAAAGTGTGAACCGACAAAGAAATTAACCTACCTTGGCTTTATGATTTATACTTAGTTAAAGAATTGGTTGTCAAATACTTACTGGTACATAATTATTAATTTTATACATTCTATCGTGTACAAAAAGGAGATGTAGGAAAATGCCAGATGCTTAATACATATGACTAAGACATCAAAATATAACTTATTCTCATTTGTTTCATTAAATTGATCGAACAGCCCTTTGTTTCAAAGGCAAGGATTGTATTGCAAAATTTTATTTTGTAACACAATAATGGGTATTTTTATACAAAGTTATAAAAAAGATCAATAACATTTTACAAAATTATACTCAAGAAAGTTGAAGCGAGTGCTACCACTGGCTGAGTTAAAAGTTTTGATTGTATTGGGTCTGGTTGGCTTCTTCTTATAAACCCCACAATTCTTAGATTTAATCAACTGAGTGTTTTTGTAGAGAAGGAATTGTTTTTAAGAACTTAAGGGTTTTGAGAGTACAAATTAATCATATAACTGCAGTTATATCGTAATAATTAAAGACTTGCAAATACATTTTTATTTCGTGAAGATAGACACTCTGTCAAGAATAAACAACCTCTACGAATTCATGACATTGCAAAGACCGTAATTTTAGAATATTCGATACTCATAATAAAATAAACCGTATATTAAAAATAAAATAAACATACATCGATATAATACAACCTCTTTACGGTATAGATTTTGAAATATGTTACCTTCTATATTTACCTTGTGGATATTCAGGTCCAGGGTAAGAAAGGTCTATGTGAAAGGGCCCTAACTTGGATGAATAAAGAACTATTCACTTTATTTCATAGATTCATTATGAATGTTAACTTACCCTTGGCGTATTATGAAACGACTGGCTATTCATATCAAGGATTGAGAGACTTGTAAAACATAGTTAAAACCTAAAAATAACAAGTATTTCGGATTAAAGTAACAGTTATATTTTTGTGGAAAAGCTCATAGTATTTTAACGTGACTGCAGCTCGACTATACGCCTTTGGGAATAGTTAAACCCCTAAACAGCTTAACGTCACAGAAATTGGTGTCAAAGATAAATTCTTCTGAGATTCGTGATCAGTTCAAAACTCAATCACTAGAATTTCTCTTAAGTTCTCGTCTTGAATTTTATCTACAGCCTCAATTGTTAGTGCATTTTATTATCATTAGAAATATGTTTTATAAGCATAAATAAGTTTTTCAGAAACTGATAAAACAGTTGCTTTGCAAATAGTTATTCATTTCATGTTTAAACTACTAATTGTCATCCTACGTACAATTTATGTTCTTTAAGGAGCTTATGTTTCTTTAAATCTTAACACCATAAATGTAAAAAAAAAAAAAAAACATTCCAAAAGGGACAATATGCTGGTAACTTACTAGATAAAGTGTGTTATGCAGTGATACACAGCTAGGAGAAGTTCATATGATACTTATTTAATAATGGATTTAGTAGGGCATTATCGTAATAAATCGTATTAGAAGATTTTCATTGCCTTTTATTGAGAAAAGCTACTCTCCACATTATCAGATTTATTTTCCAAAGACATCTTTGAAATATTATCTACTTCAGATTTTCACTCCTATAAGGCTAAGAGCCAAAAAATACAACCTTCCATTTTATACAAGCTTGTGACAAACTTATGTTAAATGTTTGGGTCTTTAATGCATGTAATAAATAAAAGTTTAAAGAAACTGAATACAATATTATATAGTATATTATATGATACTTCCATGGGCTTATTAAAACCCGATATGTTTCAAAATTGCAACGTAAATTCTGTTGAGGAGTGTAGCCTAGAAATAAATGGTCTTGTTACATTACATTTTGAACGTTTCAGTGGCTCTATTGTGCCTTCAAGCAGTAGTTGTGTTGTTACGAAGATATCATTGTGAACTATTTTCAGTAACTATTATATTACATCAACTAAAAAAAATTCTTATGTAGTGGGACGTGAAAATCTACAAGATTAGTAATTAACATGTATTGTTGGGGGCGTAATGGGTGAAAATGAAAATAATTAATAACTCGAAGGACCAGAACTAATTAATAGTTCAAGAGAAAAATAATTAAATTAGAGAAAATGGCGAATCTGCAATTTGAAGGGCACTGAGGTCCCGAGATGGAATAAAATGTCTTGTGAGGGGCAAATGAGATTAGTTTTAGAGTCTAATTAAAACACACACAAAACTTTAAGGTTGTACCTTGAGTCCAATTGTCCAAAGGTGGAGAGTATGGCAGCGGCGTCGTCTATGGTGGAGCGATGGCGGATGGCGGAGTCCTTAGACCGAGTGCTTCTGTTTTGTAGAATTTTGGAGTACGCAACGCACCCAAGTTCATAATCACAAAGAGCTCACTAATACGCGGAAGTCACGGTGAAAACGTACGGAAAGTCTAGAAGTAATACACGGACGCGCACACACTGTCTTGAGGTTTGAAGAGTCTGAAAGCACTAGATCACAATTTAAGTAATTTAATCACAAACAAAAGGGGGAAATTAAAATGTATATATAGTTAAATGTACTATAGAGGAGAGGGAGGCCAGATATAATTAATCTATAGCCTAAAAATACGTTTAAGAGAGGTAAAATGGGCAATTAATGTCCCGAGATACGAGAAACGGAATACACCGTGAGTTATGGACGCCGACCGTGGACAGACAGACCCCGATCGCCGGCTTCACACTTTGAAAAATGCAATTGCGGTTTAGAGGGGTCTAGGAATTCGATGGCCAATAGGAAATGCGATTGAAGCAAACACGGCGTCAGGTGATTCATGGGTATGTAGTACAGGAAAATAGGCCTTACTGTGGCGGGAAATTCGAGCAGGCTTAGCAATCTCATTTGAATATTGAAAGCGGGAGTCTATTTACAATAAATTGTTACTGAGACTAAATAATATTACAATAAATGTGGTGATTTATATACACATTAGCATGATTAATTAACCAGTGACTTAATTAACATAATGATTAATTTCTAAATACTCTATAAATAAATGAATACCGAACATTCCGGCCCCCTTGAAGCATTACAGCTTCAACAGACAATTAATTAAAAACACAAGAGCAAACGTAAACCACACTTAAATCTAATATGTACATAGAGTAGGTTTCTTGGACTTAGTCTTCATTGCATGGCAGAGGGAAGACCTTGTGAACAGGCCGTGTGAAAGTCCCAGAAGCTGTCTTCACTGTGACGACTCGAACTGTTCCATCAGCGCCAGGGTGAGTGGAGACGATGCGTCCAAGAGGCCAGGTGAGTGGAGGTGAATTGGAGTGAATGAGCACCAAGTCTCCGGTCTTCAAATTCTCATGAGGGGTGGTCCACTTGGATCGCTGCTGGAGGGAGTGGAGATATTCAAGCTGCCAACGCCTCCAGATACGCTGGTGAAAAGCCTGGACAAGCTGCCACTGACGAAGACGATTGAAGGGCACTTCAGACAGGTGAGGTTCCGGCAGGGCAACTAATGGAGCTCCGATGAGGAAATGTCCAGGGGTCAGCACAGAAATTTCGGAAGGGTCTGAACTAAGAGCTGTAAGAGGGCGCGAGTTTAGCATTGCCTCTACTTGAATGGACAAAGTTTGAAATTGGGTTAAAGTTAAAATGGTTTCACCAATTACCCGTTTCAGATGGTATTTTGCACTTTTAACGGCACTTTCCCATAAGCCACCTTGATGAGGTGCAGAGGGGGGGTTGAAATGGAAGTTAATTCCTTTGGGGGTGGTGAAATGAACAATTTTGTCCTGCGAATCAGGTGTAAGGATGGTTTCACGGATTACCTTGCGTAATTCCGAGTTTGCACCAACAAAGTTGGTTCCGCAGTCAGAATACAGATCGGAACAGAGTCCGCGTCTCGACACAAAACGTGTGAGAGCGGCAATGAAGCCTGAGGTGGTAAGATCGGTGACTACCTCTATATGAATAGCTTTGGTAGCCATGCAGATAAAAATACACAAATAGACCTTAATCTGTCTAAGAGCTTTGAGACTGCAAACGCGAACACTAAATGGTCCGGCGTAATCTACGCCTGTAGATGAGAATGGACGAGTAGGATTGACCCGATGAGCAGGTAAATCACCCATTAGAGGTATTTTGTTTCTTGGTTTATTTTTAAAGCACACAAGACACTTAAATATGCGCGAGCGGATAACGCTCCTGGCCGATAGAATCCACACTTTTCGGGCGAGTAGTGATTGAGTTAGTTGCGGACCTGAGTGCAAGTGTACCTGGTGGTAAAAGTCTATAAGCAAATTCACTACAGTATGAGACTTGGGTAGAACAATAGGGTGACGGATGTCATGAGCAAGCGAACAATGTGACAATCGGCCACCGACGCGTATGAGACCATTAGGGTCGAGGAAGGGGGTGAGTTTCTGTAATTGTGCAGAACATATTGAGCCTTTGTTCAATAATTTAATATCCGCACTGAAATGGAGTTTTTGCACTAGTTTAAAAATTGTCACTTCCGCTAGATTTAATTCACTGAGTTTTAAGTGTCCAGAGAGTTTGTTTTTAGACCTGGAATAGTTTATGAATCGTAGTACATAAGCTAGCACACGGGTTAGTTTCAACCAAGATGAATATTTAGACAATAAGTCCCATTCCGAAGGGGCGACTGTTGCACTAAGTACACTAAGAGGAGTTTCTTTAATTTCGTCCGTGGGAGTGAGTTCAGACGGCGAAAAACATGAGGGGGGCCAGTTGGCCGCAGGGAGCTGTAACCATGGTGGGCCAGTCCACCATAAGGGATGGTCAATGAGAGATGAGGCTAGAATTCCTCGTGAGGCACAATCAGCGGGGTTTTCCGTCCCTTTTATGTGCCGCCACTGATAACTGGGAATGATTTCTTGCACTTGGGCTACACGATTAGCCACAAAGGTCTTTAGTCTGTATGGAGGGGTTTGTAGCCAAGTAAGAACTACAGATGAGTCACTCCACAATACAGTGGTATTCGTAGTAAGAGAGTTAAATTGTTTTTCACAATAATGCACTAGTTTTGATAAGAGGTGAGCTGCACACAATTCCAAGCGGGGTAAAGTTACCTTTTTTAACGGGGCAACACGAGTCTTAGACAATATTTGTTTCACAATGACTGTTTTGTCACTAGATTCACACCGGAAATACACTACCGCGGCATAACCGCATTCCGATGCATCACAGAAACCGTGAAGCTCGATATCAGAGGAGTGAGCGAGCGGAAATGCTCGGGGGATCTTAATTTGACCGAGGTGGTCTTTAGTGTTACTAGTGAACACATGCCACTTATGTGCGAGATCAGAAGGGAGATGGTCGTCCCAATCAAGACCTTGAGTCCATAGTAATTGCATGAAGCATTTTGCTACCATGATTAATGGGGACAAAAATCCGCAGGGGTCATATAGTTTGGCAATAAAGCTGAGCACGGAGCGCTTAGTCAGCTTTTCAGACGGGGGGTTGAAAGCGTAACAGAAACAGTCTTCTTCAGGAGACCAATGGAGACCTAGGATGGAGTACTGGGGAAGCTGAGCGTCTTGCAGGAAACTTGGAGTCTCTAGATGTTCCGAAGGAAATTTTTCTAGAAGAGCAGAGGAGTTGGAGGCCCACTTGCGAAGTTCAAAGCCACCACGATGTAGAAGTTGGATAAGTTGGTCCTGTAGTTCAAGAGCAGCCTCAACGGAGTCAGCACCCGTGATAATGTCGTCCACGTAGGTGTGATGACGTAGAGAGTGAGAAGCCTGAGGGAAGGCATCACCTTCGTCTTCCGCTAACTGCATTAAAGTTTTAATAGCAAGGTAGGGGGAGCTGTTCATGCCGTAGGTGACGGTAGTAAGTTGAAACGTAGAGATTTCCTTTGAAGGGTCGTCACGCCACATAATCAGTTGAAACTTTTGATCGTCAGGGTGCACTTGTATTTGGCGGTACATTTGCCGAATGTCACATGAAAACACAATTTTATGAGAGCGGAAGTTCAAAATTACGTCACAAATGTCAGTTTGTAATTTACGTCCTGTCAAAAGAATATCGTTTAAGGAGTGACCGGAACTGGTTTTGCTACTGGCGTCAAACACTGTCCTTAAATTGGTCGTGCTAGAGTCCTTCAGTACCCCATGATGAGGTAGGAAGTAGTGTGGGTGTATGTCTTCAACAAAATCTAGTTTTGTCATATGGCCGAGAGTTTGATATTCAGACATGAACGTCTTATACAAGTGTGAAAACTGGGGTTGAGCTTTAAATTTCTGCTCAAGAGACAACAAGCGCTTTTCAGCAATGGGCCTAGATTGGCCTAGAATGGAGGGGTCCGTCTTGAACGGAAGTCGCACAACATAACGACCTGATTGATCACGAGAGTGTGATTTTTTATAGTATTCATCACAAAGAAGCTCTTCCTGTGACTTAACCTGGAAGTGAGGGGGTTCCTCCTGTTGCCAAAAACGTTGCAGGGAAGAGTGTAGTGAATTATCACTAACAGAGAGAAGAGAGATCGCAAAACCTGACACGGGTTCCGAGTTAGTTGCACAGGGAGCTTTACCCATCAGAATAAAGCCAAGATGAGTACCTATCACATGAGGCATGTGCGTGCCGAGGGAGTAACTTTCATGAGTCCAGAGGAGGGGTAGCAGAGAACTACCTATAAGCACGTCAATGCCACCAGGCAAGTGAAAAGTAGGATCAGCTAGAACATAGGGCTTGATTTTTGTTAGCACTTCCGGTGATATAGGGGAGCGAGGTAAGTCGACGGAAATCTTATCAAGAATATGGAATTGATGGTCAGTGGCTATTACTCGACCTGAGAGAGTTTCAAGATTCAAGTAAGTTGACCCTTTAGTACAGGAAGCCATTTGAGAAAGACCAGATATTTTGAGTTGAGAAGACTGGCGTTTTATATTCAGGAGATTCGCAGCGCGTTCTGAGAGCAGATCACACATACTGCCAGTATCTAGTAGAGCACGAAACACATGAGAGATACCCTGAGGGGAAGTCAACTTGACCAAGGCGGTGCCGAGTAATACAGTATAATTACCCGAAGTCGTACATGAGTTATTTTGGGCAGAATAATTGCTTACATCCGCGACAGTGGCGGAGATAGAGGCTTGTGAATTAACATCACCAGTCTGAGTGTGAGATGGACCTGAAGTGGTCGGGGAAGTGCTTTGACCTTGAGGTCGAAAAGACATCTGAGAGGTTTGATTATTATCACCAAGGTGTAAAAGAGAGTGGTGTCGCTGTTTACATGTGCGACAAGTGAACTGAGAGCGGCATTCTTTGGAGCTATGTTCACCCAAGCAAGAAAAACAACGATTATGTTTTTTAACAATGGCGTGTCGCTCTCGAGGAGATTTATTTTGAAATACGTCACAAGTGTAAACTTTGTGATCATTTTTGTTACAAACAAAACATTTGTTATAGACAGGACTATTTTTAGTCTGAGAGCTATGAGAGGGGGGAGCATTAGATCTCGAAGTAGCTACCATGGCTAGGCCTACGTCAGACCGGAAATGCACCTTTTTTGGTATGGTTTTGTGAGGTGAAGGTTGAACGCTTCTGTGGGCCGATGACATGTTATGTATGTTAGCATCTTCTGTCTGCGAACATTCTTGGTTAAGAAATTTTATTATTTCACCAATTTCTGGTAATGAATGAGTAACTGGATCTTCGGTTTGACTGGAACGGAACGATTCAAGTTTTTTACGTAGTTCCTGGTCCATTTTACGCAAAAGGAGTGCGGACAATAGGGGGTTGTTGTCACTAACGTCACAATTTAATGCCTTAAGAGCTTGTGTGTGTTCCGTAAACAGGTTTACAAATTGGCGCAAACCTTTGAGTGAAGTTGCCGTAATGTTTGGCAGGTCCAACAATTGGTTAAGATGCAATGATTGCAATCTTCGATTGTTGTGATATCTGTCACGTAACAATTCATAGGCGACTAGATAATTAGGAGCGGTGAGATTTAAACTCCTTATTAAATTGAGAGGCTCTCCATTTAAGACAGAGAGTAAGTACTGGAATTTCATAACAGAGGATAATGAAGCATTACGGTGGATTGCAGTGTCAAAAAGATTGATAAAACTTGTCCACGTTAATGGATCGCCAGAGAATTTTTGTAAGTCCAGTTTAGGTAATCGTACTTGTGAGCTTGGATGAGTTTCTGAAACAGAAAACGATTCACTGAACGCGGAAGGGGTTTTTGGTGGTTCTGAGGGAACCAGAGTTTCAATCGTAGCTTGAATGTGAGAGAACATGTCTTCAATAGCATCTTGATCATTGGAAAGAGTCTTATCATCGATCCCTTCATCTTCCAGAACGAAGGCACGTTGAAGGTTATTTTCAAATTCACTGCGTTTCTTTTTTATTTCCAACGCGTAAGCGGATAATTTCTTAAGTTGTAATGGTGTTAGAGGGTCGATTTGAGTTGATAATTCATCTACTGTAGCCTTAAGTTTTTCAAAACGTGATTTAATCAGCGCCGTAGAACGGGTGTAGATTGCGGACTTAAAATCAGATGCTTTAGGAGGCATTGTGAAGTATTCACTTGAAAGTATTCACACGAAAATGGAAGTTGTGGGTACACAAAAGGCTTGTAGCTAGGCCTATGAATGGTATTAGCTTAACAATGTAGTAATTAATTGTCCGCTGAATAATATAGAGATAAAATATTATAAAAATCTAAAACATATATCCACCTACTTTGTAGCTTAATTGAGGCAAATAGTGAAAAACACTAAGTTATCAACACGTTAGATAGCAATAAAATATTTTTAAATGAGTGTGGCAGGTTTAATTCGATTTTCAAACCATAAATCAACAATTGAGCTTAGTTGAAAATATTCAAGTACGGTAATAATAATGCACAATAAAACAAGAGATATGATAGAACAAATGAATGAGTCACATGAAAGTTCACCGTTATTTACAAAAATAATAAATGGATCTAAATAAGTTTAATGAGAGTAGGCCTCATTAATGAAACAGTGTAGAATAATCCTTAGTAAACAAGAATTGCAACATAAAGAGTAAGTTATTACCCTAATAAATGAGAAAGGAACATAAAATTATAACCATCAATGAAATATGAATCACAATACAAATACGCTAGCTAACAGTTTTGTTTATATGTACAACAATAGTAATAAGAACCAGTAAAAACGGTTATTTTGAACTATTTATTAAAATGTTAATTGACAAGATAATTAATAAATTACCTTAAATATAATATCGCACATTTGTCAACCAAAATTACAGAGATGAACTAATTTAACTTTACTTCATTTAAAATCAAAATTCAGAAAGCATAAACAATGTTAAATAACAATGACAAATTATTGTTTATTTAGTACGATATTCAAAAGAGCAATATTGATTCAAAGAATAATAGTAAATACCTAATAATAACCTAATAGTTGGTTATTAATAATATCAATCAACCTTATTACACAATACACCTTAAATGAGAAAATGTAAACAACAACAAACCTGTACAGTGAGTGACAGTTGAGATATGCGTCTACTACTAGTGTCTGCCGTCTGCTCGCGACTAAATCCCGCAACTAAAACTAAATCCCGTTTTCGGGATAAAAAAGCCAAGTAGGGAAAAATTGTCTACTACTAGAGAGAACAGCAAATTGTACATGATTGTGACCTGCGCAGACGCGCGAGTGGAGAGAGATTGCTAAACCACGCCCACGAACGGAACGAACGCGAGCCGATATTTTACCAATATGGCGAAAATTGAAAATTGCAGATCGCTAAAAATATGGTTGATGATGAAAATTGGCTGAAATTAATTACCACAGGACTTTAGACAATGAATCCGGCTCGAAGGACCAAATGTTGGGGGCGTAATGGGTGAAAATGAAAATAATTAATAACTCGAAGGACCAGAACTAATTAATAGTTCAAGAGAAAAATAATTAAATTAGAGAAAATGGCGAATCTGCAATTTGAAGGGCACTGAGGTCCCGAGATGGAATAAAATGTCTTGTGAGGGGCAAATGAGATTAGTTTTAGAGTCTAATTAAAACACACACAAAACTTTAAGGTTGTACCTTGAGTCCAATTGTCCAAAGGTGGAGAGTATGGCAGCGGCGTCGTCTATGGTGGAGCGATGGCGGATGGCGGAGTCCTTAGACCGAGTGCTTCTGTTTTGTAGAATTTTGGAGTACGCAACGCACCCAAGTTCATAATCACAAAGAGCTCACTAATACGCGGAAGTCACGGTGAAAACGTACGGAAAGTCTAGAAGTAATACACGGACGCGCACACACTGTCTTGAGGTTTGAAGAGTCTGAAAGCACTAGATCACAATTTAAGTAATTTAATCACAAACAAAAGGGGGAAATTAAAATGTATATATAGTTAAATGTACTATAGAGGAGAGGGAGGCCAGATATAATTAATCTATAGCCTAAAAATACGTTTAAGAGAGGTAAAATGGGCAATTAATGTCCCGAGATACGAGAAACGGAATACACCGTGAGTTATGGACGCCGACCGTGGACAGACAGACCCCGATCGCCGGCTTCACACTTTGAAAAATGCAATTGCGGTTTAGAGGGGTCTAGGAATTCGATGGCCAATAGGAAATGCGATTGAAGCAAACACGGCGTCAGGTGATTCATGGGTATGTAGTACAGGAAAATAGGCCTTACTGTGGCGGGAAATTCGAGCAGGCTTAGCAATCTCATTTGAATATTGAAAGCGGGAGTCTATTTACAATAAATTGTTACTGAGACTAAATAATATTACAATAAATGTGGTGATTTATATACACATTAGCATGATTAATTAACCAGTGACTTAATTAACATAATGATTAATTTCTAAATACTCTATAAATAAATGAATACCGAACATGTATTCTATACTACATAATAAT